CTTCTGTAGCAGGGAGCACATGAGAAGGCTGATCGACTGGTGAGCTCGAGTATCTGAGATGATATCCACATATGTAAGGGCCCCAAGTAAGGCCTGGGGTTGGAGTGAAAAGGAAGACTGAGCCGAGTCCTGAACTCTTTGAATGTGTGATGAAAGGAATGTGAGAGAAGGGTCTTAAATGAAGGACAGTATGTTAGTGATAACAGCTTCCAAAGCTTTAGTGTTTTTGCCATGAGTGAGAGCAGATTCAGGGTAACGGGTTGGGAGCAAGAGAAAAAGGCTGAAGGATCTCTTCCCGGTCCCAGCTCCTTACCCTCACTTACCGTGAGCTGGGATTGCTCTCTTGCCTTGTGTGTGGTCTCATGGTCTGTACTCTGCCAGTGTTTTCAGGTTTTGATTGATTGTCTCCCCTACCCACACGCTGTCATGGTCTGTGTTCCAGTGGTGCCTTCCCTAGCTTTACCTTGTCTCTCAATTTCAGCCCTAACACCCACTTACCCAGAACGCACATTCCTCCTAGAGGCAGATAACTTGTACTTACAACAATTTATCTGTTTATCAAAATTAACTATTAGAGTATATTTGGGGATTTTTTTTTTTGGTCTTAGAATTTTCATTGGTGTATGGAGTGCCTAGTGAACTTCTGCCAACACAGATGAGTACCTTCCTGTCTACTTAAAGCCTTAGAGAATTGCCAACCAAGTCATTTGTCCAAGGTCACACAGTCAATTTGTGGCCGAGGCAGTGCTTAAAACTAGGTCTTCTTAACCCTGGGCTCCAGTTCTGTATGTTAAATTGCTGAATCTAATAAAGACAAAGATTCTTGAATTCTGATCCCATTTCCATCAATGACTTGTGTGACCTTTAGTGACCTTTGGTCTGTTTATTTTTGTGAGTCCTGTTTTCATACTTACATACAAAGCACTTCGTGCTTAGAGCATGATGGTAATAAAGCTAAGGTTTAGTAGTAGGCACTCAATAATTGTTGGCCAAATGAATGTATGTATGAAAACTAGCCCAGTGGTTTTCAAAGTGTGGTCTGAGGACCCTCTGAGGGTGCCTCAGACCCTTTCAAAGGATGTGAAAGGTCAAGTTTGTTTTCATAATTCTAGCATCATACTATATATCTAGGCAGCTAGGTGTACAGTAGATAAATGGCTGGGCCTGGAATCAGGAAGACCTGAGTTCAAATTCTGCCTCAGATATTTATTAGCTCTGTGACCCTGGGCACGTCACTTAATCTCTGTCTGCCTCACTTTCCTCAACTGTAAAATGAGGATAGTAATAGCTTCCAGGATTGTTGTGAGGTTAAAATGGGATAATATTTGTAAAGCACTTAGCCAGTACCTAGCACTTAGTAGCTTTTAAAATGCTTTTTTCCTTCCTTCCTTCCTTCCTTGCTTCCTTCTTTCCTTCCTTCCATGAGGCCAGATTTTTTCAGATACTCCAACCAAAACAACATATTTCAACATGTTTAAGGCAGAAAGATATGAAAATCCAGCTACCTTCTATTATGCCAGACGTTAAAGAAATTTATAGCAATATGTAAAACAGTGCCATTCTTCTTATTTTTTTTGTGGAAAACAGTTAATTTTCCATAAAGATATGTTATTTATGTTAACATGTGATGGTTTTATTATTTTCATTTTAAATTAGTAAATATTTAAAAATTTGTCAGTTTTCATTTCCACTGTGGTAAATAATAGTAGATAGAACTCACATAAACAAATGCTCTTTGTGGCCCTCAATAATTTTTGAGGTCTAAAAGGGTCTTAAAACCAAGAAGTTTGAGAACTGCCACAAAGTTCCCTGTGTTGTGATCTGTGGCAGTGGGCCCTCAGTCCTCATCTTCGAGGAGCCATCTTGCAGACACATTGGTCACTGGAGGAAACCAGCTAAGAATCTGACTGCTTAGATGGCTTCAGAAAAGCCTGAGAAGACTTACATGAACTCTGCAAAGTGAAGTGAGCAGAACCAGGGGAATATTGTACACAGTAACAACCACACTGATCAACTGTGAAAGACTTAGCTACTCTGATCAAGATAGTGATCCTAGATAATTCCAGAGGAGCTGTGATGAAAAGTGCTCTCCCCCTCCAGAGAAGGAACTGATGAACTGTGACTCAGTGCAAATTAGAGCACACTCCTTTTTACTCTTTTTGGTTTTGTTGTTTTATTTTGTTTTTATTTTTTCTTTTGCTAATATGAAAATGTGTTTTGTATGACCTCACATATGTAATTGCTATCAAATTGCATGCTTTCTCAAGGGGAGTGGGGTGGGAAGGAGGGAACAGAATTTGGAGCGCAAATTTTTAAAAAATGATTGTTTAAAAAAAAAGAATCTGACTGCTCCAGTACAAATCCGTCATGGCCAGCATTAGAAGAACAACTCAAAAGCTCGTGATCATTTTCAGTGAGGCCTCCCTTACCTGTCAGTCAGACTTCTAGTAACCTTAGTAACCAGGAATATAGAGATAAATGCAGAAGGAATAAGTGGAAAACAGCCTCTAAGCAGAGAAGAAAATCGTTATCGCAAAGGCAGAGGATTTTACTTGATAGAGAGGAATGGAGCTGCCCTTCGATGGATAGAAAGCACTACTAAGCTGATGCCAGGTGTGTAGACAGCAGAGTGAACAGCTTTTTGGGGTTTAGGCTTGAGGGTACTCTCGGAATGTAGCTATGGGGACAGGGAAATGAGCTATTTAATTCAAAAGATCTATTTCATAAATGTTGGCTCTGGAGAAGTTTTTTAAAGTTAACACTGAACCAAGGCATGAATATTGGCTTTTTATGATAAAACAGGCTCCTTTGGGGGTTTAACTTCAGGATCTAGACTCGAGGTGGACTGTAAGCTCAGGGTGAGTCAGTGCTGCAGGTCCGACTCCCTTGGAACTTTGCTGTCAGGGCTTCTACCCCTTGGGAAGAGAGTGCTACAGATTAGTCCCCTGCAGAGTCAGTGGTCTGTCTTGTGAGAGGCAGCTCAGTGGCACAGTGAATGGAGCATCAGGCTTGCAGTCAGGAAAATCAGAGTTCACACCTGGCCTTGGACACGTACTGGCTGTGTGACCCAGGACAAGTCACTTAAATTTTGTCTACCTCAGTTTCCTCATCAATAAAATGGGAATGATAATAGTACTTGCCTCCTTGTTGTAAGGATCAGAGGACATAATATATATATATATAAAAAGCACTTTATAAACCTTTTGGTGCTATATACGCTATTATTATAAATTTAAAATATTATTATTGTTATTAGTATTGTTTACCAGTCCTTGCACTGGCTTTCCTGGTGGAGGGGTTCACACAGGCTTCAGGCTGTCTTCTTATGTAGTCCTAGTTACATGAAGGGGAAATGAGAGGATGATGTTTTCTTTAGATTTCTTGGTCCTTACCCAATCTGGTGCCTTTTTTTGTTGTATGTAGGCAGAGCTGGGTGCCCATACAACCTTTTAGACAGAAGTCTGCTTCCTCCAATTTTGAAGACTTCTTGTCAGTAGAAAGAAATGTGTTTTTTTTCTTTACCTTGCTCTGTGTGCAATTATATATTGAATATTTGTGATATACGTAGTACATTGTCTCTGTACGCGATATATAAGAAGTATACAAGATAATGTCAGCTTTTCAGGCATTTTGTCATTTGCTAATAGAAATGAAAGATACATGTATAAAATGGTCAGAGGAAAATACAATGCAGTATATATTTTAATGCTAAATTGTGTGATAAAGGCAGCAAATGCTATAAAGAACTCAGAGAAGGGACAGATCACTGTGGGATGAAATAGGCAGGGAAGTTTAATGGAGAAGATAAGACTTGAATCAGGCCTTGAAGGGTAAACAAAATTTGTGTAGGGAAAGAAGAGTTAGCAGAATGCATTCCATTTGAAGGGAGCGGCATGGGCATAGGCCCATTGTAAGATGGGTTTCTGAATGTATAGGATAACTGAAATAGAAGGTTCTTGTTGAGGAGTAGATGCAAATGAGATTGGATATCGGTTCAATTCAGTAAGCATTGATTAAGTGCCTACTATGTGCCAGGCACTGTGCTAAGCACTGGGGATACCAGTAAGAAAAAAAAAGATAGTTGCTGTCCTCAAAGAGCTTACAATCTAACAGGAGACGACAACACACAGAAGAGACAGAAGGGCACGGGAGCATCTTATTCCATAGAGTTAAAACCAGGCAGAGCTGCAGATGCAAAGTGGAGTGAGCTGGATGCCCAGTTTCTACTATGATCAAGGAAGGTTTCGGGAGGAGTTTCGTGCTTTACACTCCAGCCCTCCAGTCAGAGGGAGGTGGTGTCGAGGCTTGAATTGGCAGCTTGGTGATGAGAAGGGCGTCCTGTTCTGTGGAGCTGGAACCAGGAAGAGCATCAGATGCAAAATGTGTGGCAGGCTGAAGGTTTTAGACTTGATCCAGTGAGTAATAGAGAACAGGGGAGATTTGAAATTGGCATTTAAGCAAGCTAAATAGTTATGTTATTATTTTTAACTTGCTAAATGCCTTTTGTGTCTTGGCTACAAATTGGGATAGAATTTACAGTAAGTGCCTGGGATATTTTTTGGTGACATGGCAGGTCTGTGTACTTGTAAGCCATTTTAGCCTTATGGAACCGGAAGTATCTTATAGTTGAACATGTAAGCCTAAGCTTCCTTGGGAGCAGGTTGAGAATTTAAAATTGAATGGAACATTTTTATCCTAAAGATGCAGTCTTATGTAGTAAGAAGAAAATAAGATGGAGTCAGGAAACCCGGGTTTTAGTTCTGGTTCTGCCAAGGTCTGGCTACTGTATAGACTTGGCCAAGTCTTTTCATTATTTGGATCTCAGTTTTCTCATCTGTCAATGAGGAATTTGAATGAAAAAAAAAGATTTTTGAGGCTCCATTTTTAACATCCTTTGACTCTTTTCTATTTCATCTTTCCCCATTTGGAGGTGCTGTTTCCTCTAGCATTATCCATATTCTAACCTTTGGCTTATGTTTCTCCTTCTTTCTGTGAAACAGGGTGACTAAGGAAGTGGATGTAGCATCGAAAGAAGCCAAATCCTTTTTCAAGCAGAATGAGAAAGAAAAGCCACAGACTGGTGTCCCATCAGCACCATCGGCACTCCCAACAGGCTCAGGGTGAGTTTTAAACCTGGGTTTGAATTTCAGATGAGGACCTTGAATTCTTGGAGGGTGAAGGAAGCAGAGTGGTCCTCGTAGTAGTTACCTGGCTCATCATAGGTGTTGTGACGCTTAGAATGTTGTCATTCTGTGTGAGTGACTCTAATGATGTCTGGAGCCTGAAATGTTGACAAATAGAAGATGGAAAAAAAAGCTGAGGTGGGTTTCTAGTTCTCTTTTGGCTCGAAGAAAGTGCCTGGTTTTCATTACCTGGCACAACGCACAGTAAATGCTCAATTAATATTTGTTCATCTAAAATAGGTATTCATTAGGCTTCCCTTTCTCTTGACTGTAAAGATCCGAGTGCATTTGGTCCACAGCAACCTCATGGCAAGCTAGGAAGAATAAAAATCCATTGAGAAACAATGCCAGATATGTTGTTTTCAAGAATCTAATGTTTTTCTCCCCTCTGGTTTTCATGAACACTAGATTTATTTCTGCCTGTAAGTATGAATACTGTTTCTTCAAAAGAAATGGAAAATCTCTTCTCCTTCCATTTACTTGTCAGTTCAGAGTTCTGCTTCCTTTGTAAGAAGGAGCTAGCCACAGTACCATCCGAGAAACCCATGGCCCTATCTTGCAAAGAGTTAGGCATTAATGATATATTTGATGGTTCTGGGCAAATCAGAAATCCCAGTTGTCATGACAGATGAAGTAAAGAAAAAACGATTTTCAGCAGTTATGCTGCCCAGTTCTTTGACTTGCAAACTTCTAGGTACCATGGATGATAATTCAGTGCTTAAAGAAAGTGTCACCTCCTTTCGGGGAAGAATTATCCCAGGTTTGGGTGGTGTTTGCTTTGGGTATAGTCACTTTAACAACTTGTCAGGTAGCAGATAGAGCTTAAATACTGTAGCAGTGGTCTCAGTCTGATAAGATAGAAGTCTTAATTCTGTTTCTAGAAAGAGATTGTGCAGCCTCATCGGTGGCAGTCCTTGTCTGGGATATTCCCACTATGTAATGGCTGTAAAGAAGTTTCAGAGATAAAAAGATCTGAGCCATTGCTGCTCAGATGACCACAATGTCCATAAAAGGAGATGCTCTTATCTATTTATCTATTGATCTAACTGTGTACGTGTGTATGTGTGCATATATACATACACATGTGTTTATATATGTATATATAGATATGTGTGTATATCAATAATCAGTAGTGCTTTAGAGCATTTTTTATATGACCATAGATAGCTTTGATTTCTTTGTCTGAAAACTGCCTATTCATACAAAGTGATTTTTTTAAGCACAAGTCTGGCTTTAACACCCCTTACTCAATAAACTCCCATGGCTCTCTAATGCTTTTAGGATAACATATAAAGGCCCCTGTTTGGCTCTTAATGCCCTTCACAATCTAGCCCCAATCCACAACTTGAGTAGGGCCTGAGACTTGGGGCTAGGCAGAGCTGGGTTTAAGGTCCAGCTCAGACACTTATTAGCTTTTTTATTATGTGATCCTGAGCCAAAGATTCCTAAAAATGCCAACTTACTTAGCCTCTCTAGCTGTTTCTTCATCTGTAACATGAAGGGGTTGGATTTGAGAGCTGCTGCGTTTCCGTGTGTCGCTGAATCTGATGCTGTGATCCTGTCTTTATACCTCGTAGTTACTCTCCTCCCCACACTCTGTTCTTTGTACACTCTTCGGTCTCCGGACTTGCCACTGGCTGTTTGCCATGTCTTGGCTGCACTCTTCCATTGCCCCCACCTCATAAAACCTCTCTCTTCTTCTAAGGTGCAGCTCTCATCACTTCTACATGAATGAAGCCTTTTCTGATCTCCCCAACTGTCAGTGCCCTCCCTGACCACCTTGTACTTATTCTGTATGTACTTACACATGTATATGTTGTCTCCCCAGTAGACTGTAAACTTCTGGAGAATAGATTGTTCCATTCATTGCCTTTCTAGCCCCGCCACCTGGCACGCTTAGGAAATGCTTGCTCATGACTTTGAGGAGTGTGATGCAGGGACGGTGAGGTGATCCACAGGACAGCTGACTGACGTGTCTTTTTCAGAAGCAATGGTAGTATTAATTTGGTTCCTGTACCTGGAACAGGAAGAGAAAGCCCAGGGGATAACAAGGAGGAGGAGAAGAAGGGTCCTCAGGTCAGAAGAATAGTTGGCAAGATGGTTCAATGAAAACAATTCAGCATCAGAGTGGGAGTTCCAAAACTGAGTGGATTACCTGCCTAAAGGACTGGGCATGATTTCCGGAGATCTAGTTAGGAGGATACTAGGTGCTTTTCCAGATAGAGCAACATGGCTGGATGGGTTATGAAGTAGAATCTGGGCTGGAGCCAGCTAGATATAGTGGACTAGGGGAATTTGCACTCAGCTGCTAGGACAACTCAGCCCCAGGGTGGAAATTTCAAGCTGAATGGGTGGACTTGGTTACTGGGGCCATGGTTTCTTGAGCTCTGCTTCCAGATGTGGGGCAAGATCAGGGCTATGGTGAGATGACCCAGGTAGATGGCAGCATGGGACATGAAGCATGGCCTAGGCTGGACTCACTGGAGCGTGCCAGGTGTTTGGATGGATACCAAGTGAGAGTGCTCTAGATAACATAGAATTTTGAAATTAGCCCAGAGGCTGACACTGAGGGGCTAAGCAGCATATGTTTGAATTGAACTCTGAGATCCTACACGTGTAGCTGTGTTTGGGAAAGGTCCAGGGCTGAGGGAAGTTTGACCTCACTTGAAGTTTGCTGGGGTGTCCAAACGGGCATGTTCTCTTATTGCAAAAAATAGCATCTGTGCCTGGCTATTAATGTGCAGGGCATGGCATAGCTTTTCAGAGGAAGACTCTTCATGAGTAATACCATTTATTAGGCAGAAATTATTCTGATGCAGCAAAATAAATTCTCTACAGGCTTTTAGCATCTTCACTTTAGGAAACACTTCAGTTTTCAAAATTGGCCAGTGAAAGCACTGTATTTGTTTACTTTTTGTCTCTCTAAGCAGATTTAAGCAATACAGTAAAGGCAGAATGGGGAATAAAACATCCTGTTCTTCATTTTTTGCTAGTGAACAAGGGCAGCAGTTTCAGAAGAGCAAATGTTTGTAGCTGAAAATGCATTTCCTCTGCACATTTAGCATAGAACACAAGTTGGGCTATAAAAAGCCAAGGTTTATGCTTGGGAATGGAGTGAGCCAAACACCCGACTCTAATTAGAGGCAGGAGTCAAAGGCAGTAATAATGTTCTCTCTCTGCATTTGGCAACACTCTGGTTTGTCTCTGGGTTCCCATGATCCTGTGGCTCCCAGATGCTCACTTACCATGGGTTCTGACTCACTGAGAGTTTGGGATGGTCTAGGGAAGCATGGTCTAGTCTGGTACTAGCTATAAAGTGCTGAGTTTTTAGATGGAAAAGTGCTGGGTATAGACAAATGCTATAGATAACCTGAAATATTGGAATCAGTCCAGAAGCCACCTCTCGGGTAGATGAGAAGCATATGTTTGAACTGATCTATGAAATGTGGCTACAGGTATAAGCTAGCTGTGCTTGTGAGGATGTGCCCCATAAGTATTATTAGCCAATTGCTCAGTAGCTTCTTACAGCATTTCTGGGAGTCTTAAGTGGCCATAGGCATCAGTCCAGCATTTCTCTTATTCCACCATTGGGCTACTGTATTGGTATCCCTTGTTAAGACTTAAGATCTTAGCTGTGGGCTTTGAATTGTTTTAATTAAGGGTTCAGTGTTTAGCTGGCTCCATGAAAATTGACAAGGATAAACCACAAAAAATTCAAGGTGAAAAGTGGCACCTCCCCCCCTCTTTTTCTGCCCCTCCCCCTCCTCCACTCCTTGCCTTTGCCTTGAATCTTTGTATGTACCTGAGAAAAAAGCATTTGTCATGGGGCAGTGTCAGTTAGGCAACTGTTATTCCAAAACTGGAGAGAAAATTTCAAATAGGGAAATTAAATATGGCCTAATAGCTGAAAAAAACCAGCCTTGACCGATGAGCATTTTAGTTTATCAGCTCAATGCTTTGTATGTTGGAACAGCCTTTAGGGACCTCTAACTTACAGAGAGAGGATCACCCTTCTGTTAGTGAAGTTAACAAGCCTTGTTCCCCAGGACTTTAGACTTAACACGAACTTTGTATAGTTTTTAAAATGTAAAATTATCATTGCTCAAGCTATTGGGTTATTATTGAGTTTTCCACTTATATAACAAAAATCAGTCCCAATCACATTGGTAGGAGAAAGATCTCACCTTTTGTTCGGTCTCCTAACTCTAATCCTGACAATCAGACAGTTACAATATGTGAACTTTTTAAAGCCCTCTCAGAGGAGTTTTTGAAATAAGGAAAAATATGAAGTTTAAACTTAAATTCTGTCACATTGTTTCAGTTTTCACAAAAAAAGAAGAAAATGTCCCTTTGTTGTTTACAACAAATAACCATATCAACAAAATGTTTCAGACATCAAATTTCTTCCTGAAATAAAGGCCCATCTTTTTAACACAAAAAATATTTTCCTTGTCATGCTGTTTGGCTCCAAGGTATAGATACCAGTTTCAAAATACTTAAAGTTCTAATTCACTCATAGGTGGCACATGGTAAATATGAGCAGGCTTCAATGTATTATTTTATAAGTGAAGGATTTCATGAGAAAAGTGACATAAAGTGTATCATCAGAAAGAGGGATTGAAGACCAGAAAAGGAAGTGGGCCAGTAAAGCTATAACAAATGGACAACCCCTTTCTCTTTCTGTATCTGTGCAATGTCAAGAGATAGAGAAGAAGCCCCCCTCACCATCCCAAGGCCAGCCTCTTGGGCAGGAGGACATGGCACAGAATGAGACAGTGTGAGTGGGTGGTTGACTTTACTGAGAGAGACCGTCTACATTGATGAGATCACAGATCCATTTAAGTGTCCAAAGCAAGGGAGGTGGTGAACCGTGTCCCATTCATTCTATGCCACTGTGATCACACTGTGTCTGTAATGTTGTATTGAGTTCTGGGGAC